GTCCTCTCTGGTAGACATGGGGGCCTTAGTTTAGCATGCTAGCATGTTAACATTTGCTAATTAGGACTAGGCTGATGGGAATTTCTCTAGTTTTCATCATAAACCAAAGTATTTGTTAAATTAAAAATGTATTGATGTTGGTGAAACATAGAAACTTGAGGGTTCGCCAAAGTTATTATAATTTATCCTGAAGGGGACATTAATACATTTCTCTCAAAATACATTAGAGGAAAAGTCAGGGAATTACAAAAGTCATTAGTATTCATCATCTGGGAACCTATACAATAGTTGATGTTTCAGATATTTCAGTCTGGTACCAAAATGGTGGACCGACTCACAGACAGACCGTCTAGAGTCACTTAACTGGCATGGATATAAAGGAAGGTTAAAGGGGACAATGGAGAATTTAAGTGGTTATAAAGAGGTTCAGTTATAAACCTTATCAGTGGCAACAAGTCATATCAGAGGTTTCACCGGCAATACCCATGATACCCACCTGCCACATGTGGTCACGTAGCAACAAACTAGTAGCACTATCTCTGGTGTCACAAGCCAAATGTAACAGTAGCTGGAGGCCCAGGACTCAGGCGCAGTCAGTGACGCACCCACCACCTGACTTCAAGTCCTCCCAAGTTTCCACAGAGATACAACTTCTGACACTGATGTGTCATGATACGACCACGTGGCGCAGCGAGGCACTGTGACTCTGTCTCTGATTGCTGTTCCTTTTTATGCTTCATCATTTCTCCTACGTATATTTTAAAAAGTCCCTGCACGATGAGACACTGAAGTGAGAGATTACACAAAGAGGATTTACTGAACAAATGCAGTGAATCGCATGATATAGAGACACAATTCAGGAGAAGACTGGACAAAGACACAGAGCGGGGCAGCTTTACTGCAGCCAATCCAGCTCCATTTTTAAGAAGACAGCAGGAGGATATGGAAAGTTGAAGGGCAATGCTGGCAATTATCTATATTTGTGTCAATAAATCGTACAAAAAGACAAAAACTATAAAGTGTCAGTCTGTCTCTCAATACTTTATGACTTCCCTGGCACTGTCTGTGGCCCCCATTCTTCCTACTGAAGACATGGAGCTAAATAAATGGTAAATGGCAGCATTTATATGTAGTTCTTTTATCAAAAACGCACTCAAACACTGATGGCAACAAGGTGCTGGCCTGACCAATGGGAGGAATTTGGGGTTCAGCGTCTTACCTAAGGACACTTCGACATGTGGACAGGGCAGCTCCTTTTAAAAAACTTTATTAATATGATTAAAATGGAGGGAGAGAAAGGAGGAGGGAGGAAAGCGCACTGGCCTCCTAGGAGGAGGAAGAGAGCCTTTTTTTTTTTTTGCACTATTCTGCTGCCACTTCTTTTATGAAAGGACATTGGAAGCTCACTAGTGCACAGCATACCTAAACCAGATTATCTGCATTTTGTAGATGGGATGAATTTCAGGCATTTGCCCTCTTAACAGGAATCCTATTCTGTTTAACCAGCTTTGTAGCATGTGCCTCACTGTGTGTCAGATGGCCATGATTAAGGAATGAGGGAATGTTTATTGTTTTTTAACTCCTTCAGGCAGAATATTCTGGATCAGGAATCCCTTGTCAGCCAAAATCTGGTCTCCAGGCTTGAAATGGTCCAGACTGACAGAATCCAGTAATATTTTCTCACTTACTGATACTGGGTAAAGCTTGCTGCATTATGTCCATCTCTGCATTTGGTGCCACCCCAGGAAGTAGTTTAAAGTACACGGTATGCAGATTAGGTCTCTTTTTATGGGTATCCATTTTCTTAAGGATAGCTAGTTTGATGAAAGTGCAACCCAATATCATTCTGCAGTTTTGGAAGTGCAGAAATGAAGAAGGCAAGCTGGCTTTATTTGTCTCTCGGCTTGGTGCAAAGCTCATTACGTCCTTAAAATGGAGCATATGAAGAACCTTAATGAATGTACACATTCTTTGCAGTACTTAAACTGCAGTGGAAGAGTCTAGCCAGTTGCAGGTGTGCATAGTTATGACAGAGTTTCATGAGGGTCATGAAAATTTGTTCTTCAAGAATGAGTTCTTTGGGGCTCCAACCAGGGCTGGACTGGGACAAAAAAATCGCCCATGGCATTTTTGGCCGAGGCCACCCACCAAAATCGGTCGGACACCCCTCACCAATACACCATCGGTCCATTTAGGCGGTCAGATTAGGGGTGTGATGAAACACTGAGATGTAACACTTGCACAAGATTGGTGTGAATGCCTACAAGACAAGAATATATATTGCAATAGATCTATTATTTCTAAAAAAATATTTATAGATTAAATTTTTGATCAAGAGGACTGGGGGTCCTCCCCCAGCAGATCTTTAGCATTAAACACTTAATTTCCCGCATTGTGGAGATTTTCTGCACCAATTTATGGTGGAAAAGTCTTTATTTTTATAAAGGGAAGCACAAAATTCAGGTGGCAGGTGACAATTCACACTATATAATAATAATATAAAATATAATGCAGTAATCTGTAGCTTATTATTATTTTTTGCTTAAGTTACTTTTTTTGGGACAACGCAGAGATTTCTTCTATATTTACATTGCAGGTTTTCTTATTGTGCAAATAAACCATTTTCATAGCATTTTTATTTGTTAATCAACATTTCTTGGTGCAAGCTATTTTTCAGAACAATTTTCACAAATGCTTTCAAAAAGTGGTGGGTACATGTCCTCAGTGTCCTCAGTGTAAATGACCCTCCCTCCCTGCAGGTTTGAGCTACTCCATGCTTACCGCTTCACCTCCACACTCGTCCTGCTCTCTCTGTCCCTCGGCCCATCATGGTCACTTTGTCTGTTTCACTGTTGCACATCTCCTCCTCTGCCTGGCAGTGGACACCACAGCTCTTTTACTCCTTCAGGTGCCTGTGCCTGCACTACGCAGGGTACTGCAGCTGATGTTGGAGCTCCTGCAGCCCCGGCAGCAACCACATCGGTTGTTTTCGCGCATTTGGCGGCCTCCGTCTGAAGAATGTTTTTTTTTTTTTTTTTAATGGCCCGCAACGCAAGAAACAGAGAGCAGAGGGGTGATGGCTAGTAAGAGATGTGATTGGGCCAGCCCAATGTCAGTTTAGAAAATTACCCAATGAACTGCTGTCCATTCTTTATGCATGTTACACCGATCCCAATGGTGCGTCGGCCCACCGGGCATTACAATACAATAACTATCACAACAGTAATTCTGCTTATCCTTGAGAGACCTCAACTCTGCTGTGGACCAGTCTAGCTAGATCTCAAGTTGAATCCTATTTCTTCGTTCAGGCTGCAGTTCTTCAACCGTTTTACGACTGGATTGTTCCACATCATTATCATAAACTGCACCGCTCTATGCTCCTCTCTGCCTATGGCTAGTGGACTAGTTTACCATCAGTGTTTTCCTCACTCAAGCTTTAGGAATGATCTCCACTATCTGGTCCAATGGGGATATCTTTTGTGGCTACAAATAAAACAGGGACTTTTTTATTCCCTTAATGGAAAATGAGTAGGAGTGGGCACCGCACTTCCTGTCAGCTTGTCTGGGGGAAAAGTGGAAGATAAACAGTTTTAGGTTAATGGAAGTTACACCCAGACACTTAAGAGCACACATACAGAAGTCTGCAGAAACCAAGTGAACAAATATAAAACATCCAATAGCACAATAGAAACAAAGTTAATTCAATCTTATACTACAGTAATTGCAAGATTATAATGGTTATATTTCTTTATTATCCTTATCATTGGGCTACATGTGGCTTGGAGGTAGACCTGGTCGTCCACTAAGCAGAAGGTTGGAGGTTCAATCCCTGGTTCCTCCAGTCTGCATGTCAAAGTGTCCTTGGGAAAAATACTGATCCCCAAATTGCTCCCGATATGTGTTTGTGAATGCTTTAGTTTTTAATGAGTAGTTGGCACCTTTACATAACTGGGCTCAGCAGCCTCTATGGACCAAGGTTTTGGATTTTTCATTAGTTTTTTTTTTTGTTTTCAATTTCAGTTTAGTTATATTAGTTTTTAATGTGGGTTTGATAGTTTAGCTTTTTTAAATATAATTCTTAGTTTTAGTTTAGTTTTTATTAGTTTCAGTGTTAGTTTTAGTCTTTGTCGCTGCATGATGCTAAGCTCAGTTCAGTTTAGTTCAGTCCAGTTTAGTTTCTTCACAAAACATTGAAATACAAGTACAATCATTAGAAATAATGCAGAATTGTGAAAAGTCACTGATCTTTTTTAAGCTGTCAAAGCTTGTATGTAGGGGCCAAAACACTAAGCAAATATTTGAAGTACACATTGTATAAATAAGTACTACAAATAAATGAAGCACATGCAATCTACAGTATAATTTCTAATCTACATACAGAAAACCCTAAGAGCAAACTACCCTACTCCTACTACCCAGTGGTCCCAAGAAATTCATTACATCAGTCTCTAGCCCTATCATTCTTGGTTAAAAAGGTGAAATACAATAAATGGGGTGAAATACAATTGATGGACAACTAAGAAATTGGAAGATAGTGTAGGCTCCCTTGGAGCCACAAACAACAGGTCCCCAGCACCCTGAAGGTAAGTATGACTGGAACGCAGTTATATTAAAATCTAACCTTTATTTATAAAAAAAACATGTGAAGCACAAAGAGACAGGTTGGCTGAGATATCAGTGAGCCCATAAAACACACAGCTGACATGCAGTAAATATAATAACCAGCAGCAAGAGCTCACAGTCAATGTAGTCTACTAAGGGCAAGTTTATCCCGCATGCAAGATGAGCTCTAAGCCAGACCATCAGAACAGAACAGAACAGAACAAAGACAATAAAAGAAAACCACCAAGACCTGCAACCCGAACTAAACAAAACACAACTCTATACAGTTGTTGCATTCATATCATTTTGTACACGTGTATGTATAAAATATAATAGAAAACATTTTCAAATTCCACCAAATATGCAGCTGACGTTACATGGGGCTCTCCTTGTAACAGCGGTCGCCATCTACTACGCTGCAGCCAGATGCCGCCCTGACCCCAGGCTCTTTTGATGGACACGCAGCGTGCCAGCTCTTTATGCAGAGGACAAAGGAACACACCCGCGGCTCACCAACAGGGGCCTATCAGCTAATCACCGCGCACACCGCTGAACTGCCGGTCCAGCCACACCAACTGCCCCACATCATCAGTTCCCCCGGCTTCATATCCACACGAAAAGTGGGATTATTAGGTCCTATAAAATAAATATATAAATAAACTAAAACTAAGGACTTTTACTCTTTCATTTTAGTTAGTTTTGCAAACCTACAACACAGTTTTAGTTAGTTATCTTTTTTTTGTAAATCCTCATTTTTATTTTTATTTTAGTTATATGTTTTTTCATTCGTCTTAGTTAAGGACAGTAACCTTGCTATGGACATAACGTTAGCTTATGGCAAAGGCAAAGAGACTGAAGAGGACGTTGACGAAGAAAGCTAAGAAGAGAAAAAGGGAGTAATCAAGGAAGAGGCTCCCACATGTGAAGAGCTTTGTGAAATAAAAGACTGCAGGTTAGACCGGGTGGCAAGCTAGCCAACAAAGCAAGTCAATCAATGCAAATCAACGCAAGTTTACAGTAATGTTACTGATGTCTCATTGTGTTGTCTTGTAGTAATTAGCTTGTGTTGACAACTTTGCTAACACAGGCAAACATAAGTGCAACAACACAAGACACAGCAAGCCAGCTAGTAATTTATAACTCACCAACAGAAAGAAGGCCTGCTTGGCATCGGTCTTGCATCCTTTCAGCTCTTTTGGCTCACACCAACAAGTTAAAACTAGTCCGATATTAACTCTTGTCCAGTCTGTTGCGTGTTTAATCACTCTTTTTCTCTTCCTCGCTTTCTCAGACAACGTCTTCTTTGGTCTCTTCACAGCCTCTGCCCTGATATCCATACTGAGAATACAGATCTAATCCCAAAACTCACAAACTTCCAAACTCACATTCTATATTATATATATATACATTCTTCTTATAGCTTGCTTGTTTAAGAGTCACGTTGATGCCAAAAACCATAATGACATTGTCATAATAAATGTCCTGCCCAGGATTCCAATGTTACGTAGCGTAAGAACTAGCGTAGCAAGCCCAGAGTGGCAATGACAGAGATGCCATTGACCCTATTACAAGTCAGTGTACCATCAAAATGATTTTCAAACTGTTACTTTAAGATAAACTGACTACATAATGTTGCTTTAACAACAACATCACAAGTACCTCATAGCATTGTCACTGTGAGCATGTTAACATGCTGATATTAACGTTTAGCTCAAAGCAACGCTGTGCCTATGAGTGCAGCCTTACAGAGCTGCTAGCATGGTTGTAAAGACTTATTGTTGGATAACAATGGAGTTTTACATTGTTAGTTTTGTACTTTTCATTCAACAACAGTAAAAAAAATATAACATATCACCAGACTGATCCTTCAGATAAAGTAAGCAACTAAACATTACTTTGCCAAGAATTTGAAAGGTGACAGGGACAGCGAACGTTGAAGGAGAGTTGACCCTGTATGTGTGTTTATATGAGAGGCTGAGAGTCTAATTCAGCGCACAGCTGCTTAGTGAACTCAGTGTGAGAGAGTCAAGGAATGTAATGGCTGTAATGGAATGCTCACACAGACGCCGAAGCCTGCTGTACAATATTAACAGAGCCCAAAGTGCGTCATAGCTCTCACAGCTGACACTGTGTGTGTGTGTGACTAAGTGTGTGTCTGTATTATATGCTTCCCTTTAATCTCTACCACACCAGTCTTGAGTTGATGTATGAGCCTCCAAATTAAAATCCTGGGTGGTGTCGCCACAGAACAATGGCAGCTATGCACATTACACTATGTGAAATATTAGAACTACGGATGAAGCGTGAGAGAGTGAAGGCAATTAGTTATATGGTGTGTTTTTGTTCCTCTGGACTCATTAGGACATAATAGCTTCTAGTTTATTTTAAACTTGGTGGGATGATTATGTCAATCCACACAACATTATATTTCTTGTAAAGGTCAAAGTGTATGTTTCAAGTCATTATTTCAGAGGCTTGAGCTGTGGTGTACAGCACTGAAACAGTTTAATTCTCAAGCACCACTAATGTGCATACCTGCTTCACAAGAATTGTAATACAATCCTAATAACAGAGATACATTTACAGTATCCCCACTTATTCGGTTATCACGACCAGGACTAAATCTACCATTGTAGACACCAAGGTCATGTTCTCGATAATATTCCTGGAAATTGGGGGAGAGTTCTACCATAGAACATGCTGACTGTATGTGATTTTCTGGGCTATTTGTAAATAAGGACAAGAAAAGAAAAAACAACAACCATTATTTAAAATGGAAGGAATTCAGTATTCTCCACTCAAATTGCAAGGCAAGTGGCCGTAATGTAGGTAGATAACATTTACTGAAAATATGACTGAGCACTGAAGCAAATAAATAAAATGGGAAACGTTTAGATTTTCTTTAAATACTCTATGCGTGTGTCGATCTAAAGGTTGGGCTGAACCTTTGCATCCACCCCAAACACTCAAGCTTCACAGAAACCAATACTACTTGTGTGTTCATCTGTGCCTCATTAACAAGTTCACAAGTACACAATTTCCCTAGAAAGTTGCTCTCAAATGCATGACAAAGCGGTACATTGAAAAACTTTGGCAAGTTCCCTGATACTTGAGTTTTACAGTGTGAGTTGTGAAGTTTTGCTTCAACACATGACAAATGACAAATTGTGTAGAAGGTTCCATTTCTCTGTAATGTCATGTGACAACATGTCCAGGCTGTTAACAAAAACAAACAGGCGAGGAAAAAAACAGAGTTCTTTCCTCGCCTTTGTTTTTCACTTCCTCCTGTGGTCCCATTAGTTCAAGTCAAGTCAATTTTATTTTCAAAGCCAGGAATCTCACATATGACACTCTCTTGGACCCTTGATTTGGTCTAGAAGAATTCAGTTTAAGTGAGATATTTACCAATGAATGAGTTCAAATGCCTGGTAAAAATGATGTGGTCACATCATATTTTGGACTTTCCGAGGATCACTAAAACGTGACTTTAAACCTGCAATAAATAAAATTTTTTGGCAATTTGTGGGGCCAGCCCATCCTCGCAGAGAAAACGACAACATTGGTCGATAGTTGAAGGGCTTAAAACAACCCAATTTTACTTGACTGAGACTAATGTCTCATGTAAAACAAAAAGCTAACATTAGTTTTTGTTTTTTGTAGTATTATTAGCGTTAGCTAACTAGTTTTAGCATACTTCTTTTTTTTACATTTTGTAGACTTTATTTGTATCGTTTCATTTAGCGTTTTTTGTAGTGTTAGCTAGCTAGCATAAGTACCAGGTAACTATGTTACTGTTGAAGGTCCCTTACCCTTACCCTAACTATCACAGGGGTGTGTGCCTCAAGACCGATGTGCGCAGCTGTAGTGTTAACATCCCTGTGTTGCTAAGGTCTATGGGTAACTGAAAACTCATCTAGTTTGTTTTGGAGAAATCAACTATTGACCTATTCTCTCGTTTATACATGAGGATGTGTTCGTGAGGAGAAAACAAGCTGTGAACGAACGTAACATTGACATATCATCTACTTTTAAGTTGATATGGAGAACTTTGTTGCTTATTTACACATCCAGCAGTTATGGAGCAACATTATAATTCATTTGTATTCATGTTTGTGTCCACCTGATAAATGAATATTCACTCTCTTTTAGCTTTTTTTTTTGGTCTCTACAAACTCCTGTATATTTATATCTATAAATATTTGCCTCTTAAGCTGCTAAATGCTTCACTATTGTTCACCAGCTAGTCGCGTAACTCAGTCTGTCTGCTGTTTGGTGCTGAGCAGAAGGTTTTAAGAACTGTTTTTGTTGTAATGAGAGCAGTGAGAGTGAACCAAAACATTAAAGTTGCCGGCCGGAAAACTAAACGAGCTGAAACTCATTATAAAGCTCCTGCAGATTTGGCTAAATTGTCTGTAAGTTCGTCACTACACATGAGCCCTTTCACATTGTTTCCATGTTGTCATTTGATATATCGTGATCATAGAAATAGAGAATAGAACCGCTTTAAATTAACCATGATAATTAGTTAGTCACACTTAAAAGGATGCAGCCCCTGAATTGTGGATGCAGCAAATGTAAAGAGTCAGAAGATGTGAACCTGCCTGCATTTCCAGATCATCTATCACTGAATTAGAGTGGTCTCAGTAATATAATGTCTTTTCTATAGAGGAAGTTTGAGTTGCAGTAGGTCTTTGCCCGTGTCTGATGCTGATCATACTTATGACTCAGAATATTATAAAACTAACTGTATTGCTACTGAAATGTAAAATTAAAGCTTTCTGTAACTGCTGCTGTTTCCAGGCGAATCAGTGAACTGACTGATGAGGCAGCAAACTCAGTTATGTAGAGTCCTGTCATCCACTTCCGAAAGTTGTTTATTTACTTTGAACCGCCACGAGTTCCACAAATCCTCTGGTATTTATACTCATCCTGCCAGAGAGCTTGATTATTGGCAGTGACGCATGTGTACAGTTTCTCACTCACGTACACACAATTAGGAGGGTGCTAATCTCAGCGAAGGGAGGGATCTAAAAGCCCCTGCAGCCGCCTTCTGAGAATATTTCTGAGTATGTTTTTATGTGCTTCACATCACATTCAGGTCAATGGGATTTTTGCGTACAGTAACTGTGCCACTTTATATTTCTTATGCAACAGTTCTCGTGGCTGATACAGTAATTCACCTTATGAGCTTGAATTTCCCTTTTGTTAGTTCCCTTTTTGTTGTAGTTACACTTTCTCTCCAGCATCTGCATTTTTTTCTAATCTTCTGTCTCTTCTGCTTTTGTCCACACAAAGAGATTTTGAGAAACCTCTCTGCTCAAACTTCTTTCACTTTTGATAACAGAGTTACTTATTCAAAACACTGAATGTTTTATGGCGAGCAGCGTCTGTGTAGAATCTTTTTCATCAAGTGCTCTTCACACTTAAGTGCATAATAGTCCCGTCCAAATCCCCAAATACTTTGCAAGTTCCATTTTACTCTCAGCTATGGACAGGAACCTTTCTCGTGGTGGAAGTACAAATACAGAAGTACTTCAAGAACAAGACTGACAACATGAATATCCAAAGCCTGACATATTTTATTCCTGTGTGGCATAGAGCTCTATTGTTGTACAAAAAATTTAAAACACATTAACTGTTGTACTTGGTGACATGTATTCCTCCACAGGTGAAAATAGTCCCCAAGAAATGCTCCGGTTTGAGTAACATTTGTTAAAAACTACAATACCCAGCTGTTTTAGGAAATGATATATTCATTTCAAAATGAAACTATCAAGTTGCAAACTGTTTTTAAAAATGTATGTCTTCAGTTGGAATGACAGTACATGGGGCTGAGTACCAAGGACAGTGGAAAAGTCAGAAAGTAT